CTATACCATACCATGATCATCCAGTCCCACCCATCAAAGAGGCCCTGTGGGGAATTCGAACTCCTGACCGCTGGCCCCACAGCCAGAGACCTCACCCCTTGAGCGATCCAAAGCTATCTACATGCCAATAATTACAGAGCTGGAAGGGACCCTATACCATGATCATCCAGTCCCACCCATCAAAGAGGCCCTGTGGGGAATTCGAACTCCTGACCGCTGGCCCCACAGCCAGAGACCTCACCCCTTGAGCGATCCAAAGCTATAACCACTACATGCCACTACTTTTCAGCTTCTATAACCTCCCATCGGTGTTCAAAGACACCAGGAACGCTGAGTTCATTTCTACCAGGAATATTTAAGCTGATTTTTGGTTTCTTGTAATATCCCTTTCCTTTCACGTCAGCCCTTTCCATTCATAATTAAAAAAAACCTCGGCCAGCTCGGCAAAGCGCTTCTTTCGCGGAGCTCGCCATTTTCCTAAATCGCAGCAACGCGCCCTGTTCTGCTAAGGCTTGAAATAGAAACGGTGCATTTCTACAACGGAGGGGGACCAAGATTTGGGGATGCATCAGAAAGAAAAGGGAAAAAAAGACATTTCCTAAGGAAAGGAAACTGCAGAGATAGGATAATGGGATGGGAGATCTAATACAGTAGACTGGTTTCAACCTCCCCCCCCCCCAACCGTGGTTACTGAAAAAAACAGATTATAACAAGCAATGTTATCATAGTGAATGCCATACATAGCAATGTCTCTGGCTCCCTCTCATGGTACTTTCTGGTAATGACATTAAAGAAATATATTTCTCTAGCGAATGATAGCACTATCTCTGGTTCCCTCTAGTGGCCAGTTCTAGTAACGACATCAAGAAAAAATATATCTTTAGCAAATGCTGTACATTAGCATGGTCTCTGGCTCCCTCTCGTGGCCAGTTCTGGTAACTTCATCATTTTATATCCCGGGGACTGTGCGGCATGCCCAAGGTCACCCAGGCAGGCTGTTCTCCTAGGAGGAGGAGGGGGGGGGAATCGAACTCCAAACTTCTGGTTCTGCCGTTAGGTATTGGACTTCCTGAGCTACCCTGTGTGACTGTGAAGTGGGCCATTTGGCAGGCTCGATTCTTGGCTGCAGACAGGATCAGAAGTTCGAATCCCCACTGCGCCGCCCAGGAGACTAAGCCAGTCTGGGGAGCCTTGGGCGAGCTAGAGGGTGCCAGAGACACCCTCAAAAGACAAAAGGCACACCTGAGGGCTCTCTGCCTAGAGAACCACCA